TAAGACTTGTCCCCTCCATCTATCTTTAGATATCCTTCACCTTAACATGCTGCTGGCATAGGACCTGTGCCTTCTTGCTTCTGCATTTTGATACAGTACTCCCTTCTCATTTATAAGAGAGGGAATATAGGGAGGGAGTATTTACCTTCTCTTTGTTGGTCCAAATATCATTAGTTCTTTAAAATCCAGCTCAAATCACCCTCTAGGAAGCCTTCTCCAATTCTCCCAGTCAAAAGTTCTCTCTCTCTCTCTCTTCCTCCTCTGAAAGAGATCTAACTCTACTCACGATAGTTTTTTTGTGTGAATATTCCTCCTATTCAATTTTCTTGAATAAAGGATCAGTATCTAATACACCTTTGTGTACTATGGTACCTTATATATAGTTAAGACCTAAATAAATATTAATGGAACAGATAAAATTAATAATAAATCCTTTGATTTATTGAAATCTTGAAAATATTAAGTTTTTATTCTGTTTTCTTTGTATTTTCTAAATGCATCTGAAAATAATATTATTTTAAAACTTTCAGACCAACAATCCTTAGTATCCTTTCAGTTCTTACTTTTACTTCTGCTTTGTTACAATCAGAGAGGTTATAATATTAAGAGCTGCTGGTTGTGTAATGGCAAGCTCTTAGCCAACATGAATGTTAAGAACTGTGTTGTGAAGTGTTAAGGATATAAAAAAGGAAAGTGAAAGGACTGCAATTATAAATCTATAAAAAATTAATATCAAATAATCACCTGACCGTGTAAAGAAAGTAATTTTCCCATGCTGCCATTACAATTCTAAAAGGATGCTAATAGGTATATCAGCAGGTAACTTTAATTGATGTTTTAAGTAGTGATTCTTTTTCTTAAGATTTATTTATTCGAGAGAGAGAGTGAATGTGCACATGGAGGTGAGAGTCAGGGGGAGAGGGTGAGAGAGAGTCTCAAGTAGACTCTGTGCTGAGCATGGAGCCCAGAGGGGCGGGGGGCTTGATCTCACGACCCTGAGATCATGACCTGAGCTAAAACCAACTGAACCACCCAGGAGCTCCTAAGTACTGATTCTTAAATGTTTTATATTTTCATACAGATGTGTTGAGATTTTCTCTTTTCTCCCTTAGAAGAAATTCATAAATGGCTGCTTGGCAATCCTAGACCTCCTAGATATCTCCTAATTATTTGTTATTGGCTCATATTCATCTTTCTACCCATAATTTTAATTTAGCCTTCAATGTTCTCAAATTCTACTTCCTACAGTATTGCTTCATCATTGAAAAAGGACCAATCTTCCCCTTCTCTGAGTTCCTTCTACTTTAATAACCTGTGTCATACTAAGTGGACATTCATAAACTCCCTTATTTTGTTCATATGGAAGCCTAATTTCTTCAAATGAATTTTAAGACCAATGAGTACACCCTCAGTTTCTTTCATATCCTTCTTGGGTTGACAAAGAGCAAGTGCTTAAGATATAGATAAATAACTCGTCTTCCCCTCCCTGCACTCAAGCTTTAAACAAAAGCTTATTAAGAAGCTTTTTAAATTGTGAAATAAATAATGGTACACAAAACCCACAAAAAGGATAGTGGTTATCTCAGAATAAACAAGGCATAAATACTTCATTTTGAGTTCAATTTATCTAACAGTAATCCCTAAATGTTTGATGATGCAACATGACAAAAACAAGTAGGCAAATAGCGTGAGGAGCACTACATTCTTTAATGCAATACTTCTTAGAACTTTCAATACTCTAGGAATGTCAAATGAAATCTTTTCCAATTTATTTGGCTAAGAAATCTTTGTTTCTCTGAAACACCTATTTACAAGTTGAACAAGGCCATTACCACACTGTTCTAAAGTATGCAGTCTTGGGCGTGCCTGGGTGACTCAGCCAGTTGAGCATCCTGTTCCTGGTTTTGGCTCAGGTCATGATCTCATGGGTGGTAAGGTCAAACCTCATGTCCTGCTCCACACTTAGCAGGGAGTCTGCTTGGAGATTCTCTCCCTCTGCCCCTCCCAGCCTCAAATAAATATGTAAATCTTAAAAAAAAAAAAGTGTACAGTCTTAGTAACAACGGATCTCAAATGTCACTCGTATGTCTACCTTAGAGACAGAGATCTACTACCCATAATTTAAAAAAAAATAAGACAAAACTAAGATACACTTTCACTATTTAAAAAATCAAGATATCACAAAATCAGTTTATTAATGTGGTTTATATCATTTGATATTTCACTACATAAAAATAGAGTATAGTCATTTATAGAATAAAAATAATAATATTTTTAATACTAAGACATAAAGGTTTATAGAATAAAAGAGAAGAGAAGGGGATAAGATATGTACGTTGACTTTTTAGCTGTAAGTCTTCTTTTTGTATGGTTTAATATATATTTTCTTCAAACAGTTCTATGATTTTAGAGTTTGCTGGCTTTTATTCCTGCTTTATATGTCTGAATTAACACTAACCTTTTATTTCTTTTGAGCTGTAACAATTTTGGAAAGTAGGGAGTACCCATGTCCCTGACACCTAGAACACACAATCACTAAATTTTGTCATATTTGCTTCAAACTTGTTTGTTATAGATAATACAATAGCAAATATCCAGCCATTTGTTTAAGAGGTACTCTTATTGGGCACACACTTTGTGTTAGCACTGTGTTAAGTGCTACACACTGAATGGAGAGCAAAACCGCCACATGACCTACAACTACATATGTACCTTACAACCTGGTAGGAGAAACACAATCAAATAATCAGAGAAATAGTTACAAACTGAAATGCTGAGATTAAAGTACCAACCAGCCTTTCTCAGTTGGGATTCCATGAGAGAATTAGATGCTAAGGACAATGATTTGGGGACTATTTTCTGAATTCCCTTAAGACTGGCACATAGCTAGTACCATCCTAGAGTACAGGTGAGAAGTTAATTCACACATACAATAGGTATCTCACTTAAGCCACTAAGATTTGTCTCTCAGAACCAGGTGAGAAGGACTGGTACAGATTCTAGAAAGAACTGATCTTTGGTGATGGTGGTGGTGGTGATGGTAAGTGAGGGAGTGGTCAGAAAAGCCTAAGGAAGTGAAGTCTTTAACTGAAATCTGAAGGATATATAGGCATTAACTAGGCCAGGGCTGGGTGGGGTAGTAGTATGAAACACTGTCTTCCCAAGGAACAACATATTTGAAGGTCCTAAGGGGCGAAGGAGCAAGGTGATTCTGGAGAATTAAAAGACCAATACAGCAGAAGTACAGAGAACAAGGTCAGGGAGGAATAATAAAATATGAAGTTGGAGAGATAGGCAGGTAGGCAGGGACCAGAAAAAATGACTTCAACTGCATTAAAAAAGATCACTGTGGCTCCAATAGACTACAGAAAGAAGAGTATATGAGGAGGACTTGAGGGAAACCTTCTGCAGTAATTCAGGTAAGAGATAACTGCTTAGACTAGGGTGGTAATGGCAGGAATGGAAAAAAGTAGACAGATTTGAGTGATATTTAAAATGTAAAGGAAAGGATAAGGATAGACAGGGTTGTGTCTAGGATGACTCCCAGGTTATGGGTAAATGATGCTGCTGAACACTGGGGAAAGTCTGGAGAGTAAGTTTTTACCTGGGTTTGATGCCACTTTAAGATATCTGAAGGAGATGTCAAAGAGGCAAATGCATGTATGAATCTGGAATTAAGAGAAGGGGTTTAGCTTGTAGTTCCTTTCATAGAGGAAAATGAGGGGGACTGGCAGAGATCTCAAGCAGTAGCCATCACGCTTGGGAAGCACACATTAGAAAACAAGATGTATATGCATGGCACATGTGTTATGTATAACACAAGGTGATATACATAAAAGAAAGACAGGAAAAAAGGGAGAAAAAGTGAGAAAGGATGGTTGCCTTGTTTTTCATCCTTGTGTGAAAAACTGCTTATGTGAAAAAGATAGTTATAGACATAGGCAGTTAAACAATATGCTATCACTGCTTTGTAAATGCTCTCTACTTATATCAAAATACTTATAATTTATCTGATAATGTAAATTCCAAAATCAGACACCCAATTGATAATAAATCATAAAGCAATTTTCTTATAAATATTTTCAGAAGCAAAAAACCATACAGATCCTTTATCTCCCCTTTAATGGTTTTTATTTTCACAATTTACCCTCTATATACCTTAACCCAACTTCACAACCTTCATCATTTTGCATTATTTTGGAGAAATGTGAGAACACTACCTTCAAAATTATATAATGTTATATTAACGAAAAATCTAATATGTGGGCCACTTTGTTTAAATAATTGTTAAAATACTAAATACTGGGGGGCCTGGGTGGCTCAGTGGGTTAAGCCTCTGCCTTCGGCTCAGGTCATGATCCCAGGATCCTGGGATCAAGCCCCACCTCGGGCTCTTTGCCCAGCAGGAAGCCTGCTTCCTCCTCTCTCTCTGCCTGTCTCTCTGCCTACTTGTGATCTGTCAAATAAATAAATAAAATCTTAAAAAAATACTAAATACTAAAATCAAGTTTATAGTTGCATGGCTGAGCATATGGTACACTGAATTTTTAACTTAAAAAAATTTTCAAAAGAGTATATACATTTATTTGAGAGAGCAAGCGAGAGAGCATAAGCATGCATGGGGAGAGGGGCACAGAGAAGAGCAGAGGGAGAGGGATAAGCAGACTCCTCACCGCGCAGGGAGCCAACATGGGTCTTGATCCCAAGACTGGGAGATCACGACCTGAGCCGAAGGCAGACGTTTAACCAACTGAGCCACCCAGGAGCCCCTAATTTTTTTTTTACATTGAAAAATTTTTAACTTTGCTGATTTTTTAAAAAGGTTAATACAAATCAAATGCCAAATAAAATTCTTATGGGTAAAAAGCAAGAAAATTCCAAGTAGTACCTTATTAAAGAGGACAAGTAATTATATTCCTACCCCATATTTTTATGCTTGAATAACTATGGTTCTATATTTATTCTTTAATTTAAACAAGTTGTTTCAGTTTGTTACATACCAGTTAGCAATGTCTTTGTGAGCCACTAAATTCTGAAGAAATGCTTGTAATCCTAGTTGTCTATCTTCTAAAAAGTCAGCATTATAATTATCTTTGAACCAGCGTTTCGGTGGAAGTGCTAATCGAAAGCCTGGAAACATCTCTTTTAACTGAAAAAGAAGAAAAAAGAAAATACAATGTTCAACTCAATCATATCAATTCTATAAAATCTATCCTGTTAACTACATGAACTTGTTCATGAAATAAGCTTAAAATAAATAATTAAATTCAGCTAAGCTTTTTATAACCTCAATTGTTTTACTTGTTGATTTCTATCAGTTGTATATACATAGGCGTTATAGTTGCTCCATACCCTTGCCAACACTTGACACTGTCCATCCTTTCAATGTTAGCCAATCTAATGGGTATGTAGTAGTATTTCACTGTGGCTTCAATATGCATTTCTCTGTTGACGCATGATGTTAACTATTTTCTTATGGGCTTTTTTTGGATCTGCATATCTTTGGTGAATTATCCATTCAACTCTTCCAACCCCTCCACTTAAAAAAAATTGGCTTATCTATTTATTATTAAGCTGCAACAGTTCTTTATATATTCTGGATACAAGTCCTCTGTCAGATATGAATACAACAAAGATTTTCTCCCAGACTGTGGTTTGACTTTTATACACATTTTTTGATTCTTGCAACTAAAACCAGGTGATAGGTAGAGCTCTTTCTGGTACCTAGAACACTGACATAGGTATTTATTAATTTTAAAGTGCCCAACTTGGAATATGTAGGAGATATTTGCTAACTTAAATTACTACTAACAACTTTCTTTAAAAGCTTAAGAGTTATCTAAATCCCAACTTGCCGAAGATAAGAAATATTATAGTAATATTAAGACGAGTCTACAGAGGTAAAGAGAAGTAAACATTAATTAATAACTAAGCCCTGAAAAGAAAAATAGCAAGTCATAAAGGATTAAAATAGCTCTAGGGGCGCCTGGGTGGCTCAGTGTGTTAAAGCCTCTGCCTTTGGCTCAGGTCGTGACCCGAGGGTCCTGGGATCCAGCCCTGCATCGGGCTCTCTGCTCAGCAGGGAGCCTGCTTCCCTTCCTCTCTCTGCCTGCCTCTCTGCCTACTTGTGATCTCTGTCTGTCAGATAAATAAATAAAATCTTAAAAAAAAAAAGCTCTAAATTGAAACTGTTAGAAATTAGTCTTCATGAATAAAAACTGTAACAATTTCATAAGCAAGAATTCCACTTAAGTATATGGTAACTTCATAAATTACTTTGATCTTATTTAATTATTAAAAAAAGTCAATGGAAGTACAGAATTACAGGTTTTTAATTCATCAGTGTAATAATAAGAACTCAGGAACAGTAAATAAATTCATATTTAATGATGGAAATACATTACAAATAATACTTTAAGTATTTTGGCATGCTACAAAAAGTCATCTTGATAATACCTAAATAAATGATAAAATAGTTTAGCATTTTATATTTTACCTTTCATTCAAATTGAGGTTTTTCAAAATGGCATAAATTTTTTGGCAGCCAGGCAACTGCAAAATCACATAGATGGGGTTTCTTACCACCAAAAATCTTAAGAATATACTAACTTTAGAAGTTTTGAGGGTGAAGGTGGCAGATGGGAGAAAATAGGATCAAATTTCCTCTACTAAACACCAGTCAAAATTAGGGAGTGATTTCTGATTCAAGGACAGAATCCAAGGTTACTTAGCCTCTGAGAAACATCATAAACTACTTGTTTCTTTTGGAGAAATGCTCCTGGTTTCTAAAATACTGCCCCACTCACCTGCCTCAGTTGACTTCCCTCTAGCTCTGTGACCACCTCAGCTCTTTATTATATTCTTACTGCAATTTACTCAATCAATTCCCTATCAATTCCCCAGTTTAGGTTGGTTCTAATTTTTAACTATTAAAAACAAATTAAAATACAAAGAAAATAACAATGAATAAAACACAGTGAAAAGTGTCCTTAGAGCTAAATATTGTCTATATCCATGATTTCTTATTTTGGATAAATCCCAGAAATGTGATTATTATGTCAAAATTATGCACAACTTTAGGAAGCTGTGTACCCTAGGAAGATTCCAACAATGGAAAATACCACTTCAGGGGCGCCTGGGTGGCTCAGTGGGTTAAAGCCACTGCCTTCGGCTCAGGTCATGATCCCAGGGTCCTGGGATCGAGCCCCGCATCGGGCTCTCTGCTCAGCAGGGAGCCTGCTTCCCTTCCTCTCTCTCTCTGCCTGCCTCTCTGCCTACTTGTGATCTCTGTCAAATAAATAAATAAAATCTTAAAAAACAAAAAACAAAAAAAAAAAAGAAAATACCACTTCAATGTCTGTTAACTTGATGGGTGCAAAATAGTTTCTTAATTTTCCTTTGAGTCCTTGTGATACCAAATGTTTTCCGAATTTACTGGTCATTTATATTTCTTCTGTGGTTTGCCTTGTTCACATCATTTGTAATATTTTCTACTTTTGAGTTTACTCTGTAATTTATTTTAAGAGCTTTTAATATATCGACTTTTTGAAAATGTTTTTTTTTTTAAGATTTTTATTTATTCATTTGACAGAGAGTGATCACAAGTAGGCAGAGAGGTAGGCAGAGAGAGAGAAGGGGGGAAGCAGGCTCCCTGCTGAGCAGAGAGCCTGATGCGGGACTTGATCCCAGGACCCTGAGATCATGACCTGAGCCAAAGGCAGAGGCTTAACCCACTGAGCCACCCAGGCGTCCCAATATATTGATTTTTTTTTAAATTGAAATAAAATTTCTGTAAAATAAAATTTATTTATTTTAATATATTGAGGATTTTTATTATTATTCTTTGTTTCATATGTGCAGTAAGCAGAATTCTAGATGGCCCCATGATCTTTGTCCCTGGTATTGCTTCTGTGATTTTGTTTTATCGCAAAAAAGAGATTATGCAGATGTAATTAGGATTACTTTTCATTTGGCTTTAAGATAGGGAGATTATCGGGGCGCCTGGGTGGCTCAGTGGGTTAAAGCCTCTGCTTTCAGCTCAGGTCATGATTCCAGGGTCATGGGATCGAGCCCTGCATGGGGCTCTCCACTCAGCGGGGAGCCTGCTTCCTCCTCTCTCCCTGCCTGCTTCTCTGCCTACTTGTGATCTCTGTCTGTCAAATAAATAAAATCTTTAAAAAAAAAAAAAAAGATAGGGAGATTATCTTGGTGAGTCTAATCTTATCATGAGCCCTTTAAAAGTCTAGCTTTCTCCCTAGCTAGTGGCAGATGAGAAAGTCAGAGATTCAAAGCACAAAAAAGAACTTGACCTGCAATTGCTGACTTTGAAGATGGAGGGGCCATGTGTAAAGACTGGACAGTACTCTATGAACTAAGAACAACCTCTGGCTGATAACCAGCAAGGAAATGGGACCTTGGTCTTACAAGAAACTGAACTCTGCCAACAACTTAAATGAGCCCAAACCTGATACCTTCTCAGAGCTTTCGGAGAAGAGCCCGATCTAGCCAACAGTTTGACTTTGACCTTATCTAACCCTCAGTGGTAAACCCAGCTGAGACCACCTAAATCACTAAATCAACAGGTATGTTTTAGATCACAAAGTTTGTGGTAATTTGTTAAACAGAAATAGAAACTAATACAATATATTAGAAATATTTTTTGTTATTCATTTTCTTATAGTCATATGATTTAGGGGCTCTTATATACATCTTCTTAAAACTCACAAGACTATATAATCATTTATATTTCTGTTAGCAGTTTTAAGATTTTCACATTTTTATACTAAAATTTTTTTTTTCTAAAAAAGGGAAGTTATGTATAGAGATAGGTATATAGGCTATTAAAATGAAATAAAATAGTTAATTTTCTTAGGAGTGGCAAAATTTGACTTCACTCAAACAACAAGGAGGAAAACCCACAAATATTTAACAGTGGAACTGTCAGGAACATATAATAAATTGAACAGATAATAATTTGAAACTGGAAAGTCCATTTTAGATTTATTAAAGTACTTACTTTATCATTAAGTCTAGAGAAGTCAGTATACCTTCTGAAAACTACCCAACTTTCTTCTGGGGTCTTCTTAACTAGTATTTTATATACCTATGCAGAAAGATGGGGAGAGAGAGAGGTGAAAAAAAAATATCTATAAAGATATTTAAAATATTTTCAAAACTTTTTCAAATTTCAAATTTTTTCAAATATTTTCAAAAACTTTTACTTGACAACACAGGTCATAACAATTAATATGTAAAACATATCAGAAACCATTTGGAACATCAAATGTACAAATAATCAATGTAGATACCAAAAGCAAGATTTGTTTCTTAAGAAACATTACTATGACAAATTTGCGACAAAATGTTTTGGCACATACTAATAATAAATGAACTCATCGGGGACGCCTGGGTGGCTCAGTTGGTTAAGCGGCTGCCTTCAGCTCAGGTCATGATCCCAGCATCCTGGGATCGAGTCCCACATCACGCTCCTTGCTTGGCAGGGGACCTGCTTCTCCCTCTGCCTCTCAGCCTACTTGTGATTTCTCTCTCTCTCTGACAAATAAATAAAATCTTTAAAAAAAATAAATAAATAAAATAAATGAACTCATCGGTTCCAAATATATTTTATGTTAAATATTTAAAATTGATGAAAGAATCACACTTGAAAAAGCTGTGAAAAGTAGCCACTCTTGTCCTATACAATCAATTTAATTTCGAAACTCAATACTATCACACTAAGTTTTTGAATAAATTTAATGTTGTTTGATTCTTCAAGGCTATGATGCAGCTAAAAACTATCCATATTCGATAAAAGTTTACACTTCTATACTTAGGCACAATTATCTAGGCTTTAAATAAAAAAACTTGGTTGAAGCAAGTCAATATTTTAAAAAGCATACAATAAGAAAACTATATTCTATTTTTCTTAAATATAATTTTAGAGTTTATTATGAGGAACTACTATTTCTGACAGACTCTCAGTGAACCATCTCCTGGTAGTTTTGGTACAGCGTTTTGGGCTAAACTAAATACAAGACACATAGGAAGTACCCAATAACCATTTGCTGAACAAGTGAAACTTAAAAATGAGTTAAGTTTTTTGTTTTTTTTTTAAGTCAGCTGTGCAATAACTTTCAATTGCAGCTCTGGTGCTGCCCTCTAGCCACAAGTGGTTACTGTACACTTGAAATGTGACAAGTCCTAACTGACAGGTGCTGTGAGTATAAGTACACACTGGATTTCAAAGACTGAGAACAAAAAAAAAGATGTAAAAATACTTCACTAAAATGGTTTTGGATTAAGTAAAATATATTATTAAGTATAATTTCATCTGCTTCTTTTCACTTTTTAAAACATGGCTACTAGGAAATTTTAAATTACAAATCTGACTCACATTTGTGGCTCACCTAGTCTTACTGGATGCTCTAGAGAAAACTCATTGTTTAAGGACTAGATATCCTTATTTTATTTTTCTCCCCTACAGACCTCTCTTTCAGTTGTTAAAGGGGAGAATCAGCAAGAGTTAAGGATGACTCCTTTAGTTTTGAAGGAAAAATAAATAATTCATCTTTTTAACATATAAAGAATGAGGAAGATTATTTGGATACCCACTAAAGTCTGCAGAAAGTCCTTATTTAAGATAATTGTAAAGGCGATACTCATGAAACATTTCTTTTTAGGAGTTACTAATTGAAACAAAAGGGATAACTTGACTTCAAAACTTTTCTGAGTATGAATAACAGATGCATAATAAAAGTCAACTTCATATGACAGTAAGGTTTATCTACATAATCCATATTGACTTTATTCTCCTGTTTTAAAAAATGAATCTTCAAGTTTTTCTCCACAGTGGCCCCTGAGAACTCCTATTTCTCTAGGAAAGACAAAGTACAGGTTTTGGGTTTTATCTTCTCTAGAAAGCTCTCCCATGTTTCTATTTGTGTAAGTAGGGCCTTCAGTGGAAAGTTTATGGACACTACTGATCATTCCCTCTTTTTTTTTTTTTTTAAAGATTTTATTTATTTATTTGACAGAGAGAGAGAGATCACAAGTAGGCAGAGAGGCAGACAGAGAGAGGGGGAAGCAGGCTCCCCACTAAGCAGAGAGCCTGATGTGGGGCTCGATCCCAGGACGCTGAGACCATGACCTGAAACGAAGGCAGAGGCTTTAACCCATTGAGCTACCCAGGCACTCCTGATCTCTCCCTCTTCTATGTTCTAGCAGCAGTTACTCTTTACTAGAAACTTAGTACATACAACTTTGTGCTTTTTATATATATAGTCCTTATTTTAGGATTTTAAATAAATTATGCGGGAGCATACACCTAATTACAGAATACATACAGAGAAGCACAAAAATCTTAAGTGTACAACTTGATGAACTGTCACAAAACAAACACACTCATGTAACTAGTACCGAGCACAAGAGACAAAGCATTACCAATTGAAGCAGCCTACCTCATGGCTCCTTCCCAATCTGACTTATCACCCCTCCTAGTCACTTTTGTTCTCAAACACTTTTCAAAGGCTTGACACACTACTGACAAGAACTTACCAGTTATTCCTAACATTTTCTTCAGTTAAGAGCTCAATTCAAAGAAATATACCTAGGAAAAGTTCTCTTACAAACCTAAGACTGCCAAGCTCGTATATCCAGCTCAGACCTCTCCCCTAAACTCAACTTTATTTACATACGTATACATAATACATATGCCTGTGGACCTAACAGCTCCATTTTCATGTCTACTAGATATCTCAAGTTTAGAATGTCCAAAAACAAATCCTGATCTTGCCCTCAAAACCTGCCATCTAATTAAACAGCAACCCTAGTGTTTACCCAAAAACTTCGGGATAATCTTTGATTTCTCTTTATTCCACATCTCAAGTTTTTACCTTCAAAACATACCCAGAATCTGATCACTGCTTAGGACTTCTTCCACCTCCCTGTCCATACCACCATCATGTCTCCCGTGGATTACTACAAGAACTTGATACCTCCTGTTTCCATTCTTTCCTCCATAAAATCTAGTCTTAACTCAGCAACCAGTCAGTAATTACCAATCAGTAATGAGCCTTTAAACATTAAGTCAGATCATGTGATACTTCCTTTAAAACCTTTTCAAAGATTCCCATCTTGGGCAGAGAAAAATCTAATGGGCTTATACTGGCCGACATGCTCTACTTGATCTGTGTCTCCTTTGTCTTTACCTGTTATTTCAGTTCCTGCATCTCTCCCCATGGCTTCTTTTGCTGTCAGCCACAAGGGCCTCTGCAGCTTCTCATCTGTCAGGAACATTCTTTCCCCAGATATTCTCATGGCTCACTGCCTCTTAGTGAGGCCATAAGTGACAATGTGATTTAAATTTCAACTCCGGTTGTGGGGAAACTATCTCCCTTCACTCTTTTATTTCTCTTTATACCACTTAGCACCATATGACATACCACATTTTAAAATGCTTACTTATCCATCATTCATTCATTTGAATTGCTGTACTACTATCACTGAAAGAGTGCATTACACACAGTAGGTACCCCAACATGAATTAAATGAATGAAAATAACTTTATATCCATTATTTACTTCTTCCTCCAAAGTGTTTTTAAAGACTTTATGTATTGCTGCCTTAAATTTGCCCATGAACTTGTATTTTCACACACATCATTTCAATGAATACTCGTCCAGCATAAGGTAGGTCAATGTAAGAAAATGGGCCCCTGGCTTATCATAATTTCCAAAAATGTCAGGTCCATGCAAATTTCCTATCACATCATCAGTCTTATGATAATTTAACTCTAAAGATTGTCTCTCTTCATAAATTATCTCAATACTGATGTACACAGACACAAAAATCATCAACAAAATATTAACAAATTGCATTCAACAACACATTATAAGGGTCGCTCACCATAACCAAGTGAGATTTATTTTGGGGATTCAAGAATGGTTCAGTAATTGCAAATCAATGATAAAACCACATTGACAACATGAAGGATAAAAATCATATGATCACTTCAATAGAGGCAAAAAAGCATCCCACAAAATTCAACATCTATTCATGATAAAAATTCTCAACAAAACAGATTTAGAATAAACATATCTCAACATAATAAAGGTCATATCTGAAAAATCCACAGATAATATCATACTCAATGGTGAAAAACTTTATCAGGAACAAGACAAGAATGCCTACTCCTGTCACCTTTATTCAACAAAGTACTAGAAGTACTAGCCACAGCAATCATACAAGAAAAAGAAACAATGGGGGGGTGCCTGGGTGGCTCAGTGGGTTAAGCCTCTGCCTTTGGCTTGGGTCATGATCTCAGGGTCCTGGGATTGATAGCCAAATAGGGCTCTCTGCTCAGCAGGGAGCCTGTTTCCCCCTCTCTCTCTGCCTGCCTCTCTTCCTACTTGTGACCTCTCTCTGTCAAATAAATAAATAAAATCTTTAAAAAACAACAAAAAAAGAAACAATGGTAAGGAAGAAGTTAAATTGTCACTATTTGCAGATGTCATGATATGGTATGCAGAAAACCTTAAAGATTCTACCATAGTAATAAACTTCCACCAGAAGTAATAAACAAATCCTATAAAGTTGCAGGATACAAAATTGATACATAGGAAATTGAATTTTTTTGGTTGTGTTTCTATAAACAAAGTAGCAGAAAGTTAAGAAAATATTTCTATTTATAATTGTGCCAAACAGAATAAAATACCTTGGAAAAAACTTAAGAAGGAAGTGAGAGACTTGTACACTGAAAACTATAAAACATTGACGAAAGAAATGGAAAAAAATGCAAATAAATGGACAGATAGTCCATGCTCATGGATTGGAAGAATTAATGGTGTTAAAATGTCCATACAACCTAAAGCAATCTACAGATTCAGAGCAATTCCTATCAAAATACCAAAGCATTTTCCACAGAAGTAGATCAAATAATTGTAAAATTTGTTTGGAATCATAAAATATCCTGCATGGCCACAGCATCTTGAGAAAGAAAAAAGCTGGAGGTATCACAATCCCAGATTTCAAGGTATACCACAAATCTGTACCAATCAAAACAAATGGTACTGGCACAAAAACAGACACATGAATCAATGGAACAGAATAGAAAGCCCAGAAATAAACCCACGCTTATACAGTCAATTAGTCTGTAACAAAGGAGGCAAGAATATACAATGGGAAAAAAGTCTCTTCAATAAACGGCACAGGGAAAACTGGACAGCAACATGTAAAAGAATGAAACTGTATCACTTTCTAACACCTTACACAAAAATAAACTCAAAAGGGATTAAAGACCTAAATGTGAGACCTGAAACCATAAAAAAAGAGAACACATGCAGTAATTTTTTTTCACATCAGCCTTAGCGACATTTTTCTAGATAAGTCTCCCGAGGCAAGGGAAATAAAAACTAAAATAAGCTATTGGGACTACATAAAAATAAGAAGCTTTTGCAAAGCAAAGGAAACCATTAAAAAAAAAACAAAACACTAAAAGCAACCTACTGAATGGGAGAAGATATTTGCAAATGATATATTTGATAAGGAGTTAATATCCAAAATATATAAAAAGCTTATAAAATTCCACACAAAGAAAACCCACAAATAAATGCTACTTAAAATGAGCAGAGGACCTGAATAAAGATTTTTCCAAAGAAGACATACAGATGGCCAACAGACACAAGAAAAGATGTTCAACATCACTATCAGGGAGATACAGAGCATAACCAAAATGAGATATCACATTATATCTATCAGGGTTACTAAAATAAAAAAGAAGAAATAACAAGTATTATCAAAGATGTGGAGAAAAAGGAACCCCTATACACTGTTGGTGGGAATGTAAATTGATGCATCCACTGAGGAAAACAGTATGGCGTTTCCTCAAAAAATTAAAAATAGAATTACCATTATGATCCAGTCATTTCACTACTGGGTATTTACCCAAGGAAAATGAAAACACTAATTCAAAAAGATATTTGCATCCCTAGGTTTCCTGCAGCATTATTTATAATAGCTAAGATAGGTTGAAAGCAACCTAAGTGTCCACTGATAGATGAATGGATAAAGATGTGGTATGCACATACACACACAATATGGAGTATCATGCAATGACAAAAAAGGATGAGATCATGCCATTTGTAACGACAATGATGAACACAGAGGGTACTATGCCAAGTGAAATAAGTCAGACTGAAAAAGACAAATAGCATCTGATTTTACTCATATGTGGAATCTAAAAAACAAAATGAATAAACAAACAAAAAGCAGAATCAGATCTGTACATACAGGGAACAAACTGGTGGCTGTCAGAGGAAGGAGGGTGGGAAAGTACAAAATGGGTGAAGGGAAGTGGGAGGTAGAGGTCTTCAGTTATGGATGAGTAAGTCAAAGGGAAAAAGGTACAGCATAGGGAACATAGTCAATGATACTGGAATAGCGTTATGTGGTGACAAAGGGTAGCTACACTTATGGTGAGCATAGCATAATGTATAGAGAAGTAGAATCACTATGTTGAATGCCTAAAACAAATGTAACATTGTTGTCAAATATACTCAGATAAAAAACTTTTTATAAAAATTAAACATTTCCCCTAACAACAAAAATTATCTCAACAATTTTTTTCTCAGAGGTCATTCTATACTGTTGTAGGTTTACAGCATAAAATGTTGAAGTCAACATAAAAACTTTACATCAAGAAAATCTAAGAGGAAGAACCATTCCAATTATAAGTGTATTGAGCAGGTCTCCAGATACATAAACTCACACTGATACACAAGACCAAAATATATGAACTAGCAATGAATAAACAGAAATCAGAACAAGATATCAAGCACATCAAACCACATACATGGAAATAAATCTAACTAGGGGGTGCCTGACTGGCTCAGTTAGTAGCGCACGCTTCTCTTGATCTCGGGGTCATGAGTTCAAGCCCCACATTGGGTATAGAGATTACTTAAAACGAACAAACAAACAAAAACCTCTAACTAAAACTCCTAAGATTTCTGCTCTGAAAACTATAAAAGGAAGTTAAAGATTTCAGTAAGTGGATTAGGTTTAGATTCAGAGACTTAGTATTGTAAAGATGTCAGATCTCTTTAGTGTATAGATTCAGTACAATCCCAGAACAGGGTAAAGGATAGCCAAGACAATTCTGAAGAAGAACGACAAAGCTAGACTACTTAAGCTAGCAAGTATCAAGGCCTCTCATAACGAATGTATAATTAAAGACAATGTGGAATTGGTAAATGAGGGAAAAATGGAACATAGAAACAAACCCATATATTTAAATGGTTGCCTGATCTTGACATTGGCAACGGTGCAAATGCAGAGAGAGTGGTTTTTTCAATAAAAACCTGATTACTTGATCCCACAGGGAGGGAAAAAAAGTATCTTAACCATTGTTTCACACCACGGACAAAAATAAATTCCAGATAGTTTACAGATCTAAATGTGAAAGGTCCAACAATAAAGCTTTTAGAAGAAAACATAGGACAACATCTTTGCAAGCTGGGAGTAGGCAGTTTTTAAAAAGTGCTAACCATAAAAGAAAAAATAAATTGGACTATAGTAAAACTACGAATTTTTGTTTATCTAATGCATCACTAAGAAAGTAAAAAGGCAAGCCACAGAGATGATCATACACAGTGACAAAGCTGGAAGCAGAGCTCCCTATGGGCATAGAAACTGGACACAAGGAGTTGCCATCTTCTTTTAGCCTTTGCAAAAACCTGCACACTTGCCTCTATTATCATAGACAGAACAGTCACAATGTATGCTCTAACAAAGAACTTGTTCAAAATGCACAGAAAACTATAAATCAAAGTGGAAAAAACTTTTCCAAAGAAAAATGAATAAAGGTCTTGAACAGACACTTCACAAAAGAGAATATCTATTGGCCAAAAAAGTCTTCAATTTAATTAGTCATTAAGAATGCAAATGAAGACCACAATGTGTATTACTCTCCCCACTGGGATAGCATAAAATAATAGTGAAAAAGATGAAAAAATACCACATGTTGGGAAGGTGTGGAGTAACTGGAACTCTCCTATACTGCTTAAAGGAGTATAAACTAGTACAACTACTCTGAACTACACTGTTCATCAGTATCTTTTAAAGCTAGCCATATGATCTAGCAATTTTACTCCTACGCAGATGTAAAACAAACATTTTAATGTGTTTAGTGAGCAGTAAGTACCAAAAGGTTCACAGCAGTACCATTTGTAACAGCCCCAAACTAGAAATTATCCATATGCTCTTCAACAGTACAATGGATAAAAATAAACTGTAGTATATTCACATAAAGGAATACTATCAGTAATAAAAATGAGCTTTTACATGCAAGATTAAGGATGGATCTTACAAACACAATGCTGAAGAGAACACACCCAAAAGAGTACATATTCTGTATTTCCATTTGCATAAAGTAGAAAAATAGGCAAAATTAATGTAGGCTATCATGAGGGTGAGTATTGACTGACAGAGAGCCTGGTTGGGGGTTGCTTTTTGGATCCTGGTAATGTTTTGTTTCTTGATTTGTGTGCTGGTTTCAAGTAAAATGAAGTTTACTACAGCATGACAGAATTTAGAGGTGTAAAACTTACTTGAATTTTATGTTCAAGAAATTATAAGTACAGGTAATAATTTAACCCAGGTATAGAACATAGGTTAGTCAATTTGTCACTTTCTACTGATATACAGCAGAAGTCAATACTCACAGTAAATTTAGCTCTTTCTTCCATCACTTCATAACCCAGTATAGTAGGTGTAGAAGGTCTATCTTCCAAATATACTGTTTCAGGATTTTGTTCTTCACTTTCTCTTGGTCTAGCAGAATACTCAATGGAAGAATCTGCACGTGTAAATTTAGTCCTAATGAGGGGACTGCTACAGACAGATGAAGTACTATCCATTTGATCGGGTACACTTGTCTGTTTAGAATTACCCATATTTGAGTCCTCTAACTGGCCTTTGGAAGAGTTTGAGCTTGTTGAGATACTCCCAAAAGAAGAACTTCTTTGGTTTCTGTTGGCTGTAAAACTGGAAGCAGAGTTCCCTATGGGCATAGGAACTGGGACATAAGGAGTTGCCATCTTCTTTTAGACTTTGCAATAAACCTCACAATGCTGAGTCCAAACACTTAGAGAACAACTAATATGAAATCCATTATTTTCTTCTTAGGAATTCACTATCTAAAAATGAGAAGAACATGTTGAAAGGTTAGTCTTTAATTTGGAGCATTATCCAAAAAAAAAAAAAAAAAAACTGTGAATGTTCACAACCATTTCTTTTGATTTTGTGACACTCCATTACTTCATTTGGAAATGAAAACACACCTCAAATCACTTCATTTAATCCCAAGATATCATCTCTAAGGATTCCCATTTGCAAGATAAAGAGAGCAGAACTATTCCACACTCTTTCTTGACCTTCATATTACATGTCATCCTTTTTAATCTCTACTTTCTTTCCTTGTGATAGATTTCTGTAATGTTCATTTGAAACTGATTTCACCTACACAGAAGAATGGGAACAGGAAGAGTGGTAAAGACCTTTCTGAAGCTTTATTGTCTACTCTGGTCCTGACAGTTCCACATACAGTACAAGGGGAGGGAAAGAGGAAGAAAAGAAAGGGAGAATTATTCACATTTCCTTTTGATTTAATTAGTGAAACTCTAAAGAATTACTCAGAGTAATAACTGAACAATAAGCTTAGATGCTACAAGGTAAATATCAACTGTTCTTAAGGTAACCATTTATTAAACCCAGGACCAAATGTACTTGAAAAAAAAAACAAAAAAACAGTGACCAAATTAAATTAGTCAAATAAGACTCAAACTTACATTCAACAAGATGAAATGACTGAAAGTTAAAATATTCTTCACAGTTTCCAGAGCATCAGTAATCCTGCTATGCCAGAAACTGAGGGAATTTAACAAATCCTTATAACTCATCCCTGCTGTAATCCCTGTTGTCGAAAGGACTGGTTTATTTTGTCTCAGAATCTCATAGTTACACAATGAAAGGGTTTCCCACTAAGGGTTAAATAATAAATAATAAACTAAGAAACTGTAATAACTACAGACCTGTGAAATGACACATAACAAGGGGTTTGCCTATCTTAACCACATCTAGGCAACTCCGCTGGTGAGAAAGGTAGGAAGAGAGCCGCAGGACTTGGAAAGATGCTGAAGTAAGATTTTTAATCCAGCACGTGGCTCTGGGCAACCTTCCTCATCATCAAGGATTCAAGAAACTTGAACTGCTGATTCACTACTCCTCGGTTCTGCTTGATGGCCTCCCCCAAAAGTAGTAAATAAAAGTCTGAAATCTTATCCTTTCCAAGGCCTGTGGGATACCCCTGCCCCTTGCCACTCAACTACCTGAGGCCCTGAGGCTGGGGAGAGAGGACGACCATCAATACAATCACTGACGCGCAAAGAAGTGAGCGCTACCCAAACTTCAAGAAAATAAATGTATTGGGATTATTAATAGCGTCTTCACTTTTGCCTTAGCACAGAGATGCTCCAAGGGATAACACAGTGCTACACTGGAAAACCTCGGTCAGGTGTAGTGGCCCGAGCCGGAGCAACACGGTAGGAGAGAGAAGTGGGTAGCGAGAGAAAAGTGGAGAAACCCAGGCGCAGCTCGACCCTAGGAGTGCCTGGTCCGTACGAGAGCAGGCCACGGGTCTTCGGCTCACAGGACGGAGAAACCCACTGCTCCCGAGGCTCCCCGGGGCCCCAAGACCGTGCCACCTACGCCGCCTGGTGAGAGGCCAGCGCCTCCCACACGCACGGCGGTCTGCGGTGGCCTAAGGTTGGCCCGGAGGCTCCCGCGGGGCCCCTCCACCCTCCGGTGGAGTCAGCCCGCCGCCCGCCAGCCACGGGGGTCGCAGGTGTCACTCGCATGAGCGCCCAGGACAGCGCCGCTGCGTTCGCCCTACCTCAGCCCACTCCGCGATCCGGTTTGAGCGCACTTCCCTGTGACGGTTACATCCGACCCTCCTTAACCGCAGCTTTTCGTCTCCACCCACAGGACCAAGAAGCCTCACGCGACTTTCCGCCCCCAAAGCAGCTGTTCCCAGCCACTGCCGGGCTCTACCCTGGCCGCCCGGCCCAGGATTCCAGCGAGGTGGAGGGTGGGGCCAAACTCGGCCGCCTCTCCCGGAAGTGACATCACGCAAAGGCGCTATTCCCGCCTCCTTCGTCACCCCCCACCCCAGAGGTCGGGACAGGAGTTCACCGGACGGGGCTCCTTGGCAGCTGGGTTGGTCATAGTTTTGTGGTAAGCATCCCACCTTCTCTGCCCTAGGCTTATTTTTGTAAACTAACTTTGAGAAGTGGAGGTTAGGACTCTCAGTTTGTCGCACAGGTGATCTGAAGATTACAGTTTCGAGGAGGAACTACAGCCAGCATTGGTCCAGGCTCTTGCTTTGCATCATGGGACTCGTAGTCATCACTCATTAGCTTGGGCTGGTTCTAATAGGTTATAGATTTTAGTAGCGCTTTAAGGGATGAAAATCGATTCTAAGAGTGGGAAGATAGAACACTGCACTTAAGCTTATTCGCCCTATCATTGAAATATAATTGAAATTATTGAGGGGTTTTGTGTTTTTATAGTCCAGGGAGCAGTTTTATCTCAAATGATACATGAGACTTGTTAGACTTGGACATCTGAAGACCTGTAAAGTTATGGGGAAAGCTGTTTTTTGATAGTCAAGTACCAAAATTTAGACCAGTTCACAGGGTTGTTTATCATTAGAATTGTGCATTTTGATTTAAAGATTATCCCATGATTTCTAGGCTTTAGAACATTACGAAGACTGGGAAAAATTGATAGCTGTGATTTCAAAATGAGCATAGGAAAAGAATCTGGTTTGTGGCATAATAATGCTTTTGATTGATGGTATTGCCCTTCTTGTGTGATTGAGACATAAAAAGGGAATTCTGTGGAAACAGTAGACTAAAACGTGAGTTTTCTGTTCAGAGTTGGTAGTCTTGATCTTGAAGTGGCAGTTAATATCCATGAGTTCTGTAAGTGAATAAGGGTATAGAGAGAAAAGAAAGGAAAAAGATTTGCCTTGGAGTATTTCCTTCACCTGTGGGCAGGGCTGTAGATGGTAGCAAAAGATACTTATAATGAGAAAATCCAAAATCCAAAACCAATCCAAAGCCAAGGTAAATTAAACTTTCAAGAGACAAAAGTGACAAATACCTCAGTTAGGAGGAGGAAGGATCTAGGAAAGTTGAAATTGTCCAAGAAGAACTTCCCACACAAATTATTGAAAGGAACACACAGGATAGAGAGACTATATGTATTCTTTATCTTGCAGACTATTGAAAGATTTTTTAAAGTTGAGGTATAATTTACATATTACATTACATTAGCTTTAAGTGTGCAACATAGTTATTTGACATTTGTATATATTGAGAAAATGGTCGCTACAATAAATCTAGTTAACATCTGTCACCATACATAATTCCAGAAATTTTTTCATGTCATGAGGACATTGATATTTACTTTCTTGCAATTTTCAGATATTCAATCAATACAGTATTATTAACTATAATTGCCATCCTTTACATTATATCCTTGTGATTTACTTATTTTCGAACTAGAAGTTTGTACCTTTCAACCTGTTTATGCATTTTGCTCACCTCCACCTCTGGTAACCACGAATCTGTTCTCTGTATCTATGAGCTTGTTGTTTTGTTTTTGTTTTTTTAAATTCCATATATAAGTGAAATCATATGATATTTGTCTTTCTTTGACTTATTTCACTTAGCATAATACTTTCTAGGTCAATCCATGCTGTCAGAAATGACAAGATTTCATTCTTTTTTTATGGCTGTGTAATATTCTGTTATATCTACCTACCTATTATCTATCTCTCTCTCTCATCTTCTTTATCCATTCATCTATTTTTTTTAAAGATTTTATTTATTTATTTATTTGACAGACAAAGATCGCAAGTAGGCAGAGAGGCGGGCAGAGAGAGAGAAGGGGAAGCAGGCTCCCCACCGAGCAGAGAGCCGGATGCGGGACCTGATCCCAGGACCCTGGGATCATGACCTGAGCCGAAGTCAGAGGCTTTAACCCATTGACCCACCTAGGCATCCCTATCCATTCATCTATTGATAGACATTAAGTGTGTTTCCAAATTTGGCTATTGTAAATAATGGTGCAGTGAGTATGGGAGTGTGTATATGATATTTTTTTGTTTTTGTTTTTTGTTGTTTGTTTCAAAATTTTATTTACATTCTAGTTAGTTAACATATAATGCAATATTGGTTTCTGGAATAGAATTCAGTGATACATCACTACATACACACCCAATGCTCATCACAAGTGCCCTCCTTAATACCCATGCCCCATCTTGCCCATCCCTCCCACCTCCCTCCAGCAACAGTCAGTTTGTTCTCTATCTTCAAAAGTCTCTTATGATTTGCTTCCCTCTCTTTTTTTTCCTTCTCATATGTTCATCTCTCTTGTTAAATTCCACATATGAGTAAAATCATAGGGTATTTTTCTTTCTCTGACTTAGCTTAGAATACTACAGCCTAGTTCCATCCATTTGTTTGCGAATGGCAAGATTTCATTCTTGTTGATAGTTGAGTAGTATTCCAGTGTGTGTATGTGTGTGTGTGTGTGTGTGTGTGTGTATGTACACCACATCTTCTTTATCCATTCATCTGTTGATGAACATTTGGACTCTTTCCATAATTTAGCTATTGTTGTTAATGCTGCTATAAACATTAGGGTTCACATACCCCTTTGAATCTGTATTTTTGTATTATTTGGGTAAATACCTAGTGGTAGGGTAGTTCTGTTTTCCATTCTTGAGGAACCTCCATACTGTTTTCCAGAGTGAAAGTACTGTTTTTAAAGAAAAAGAAAAAGAAAAGTTCCAGTAGCAGAAAGAGCTCCGGTCTGAGAATTATGAATCTGCCACCAATTTGAGTTAGTGTTTTGTTTTCTTTGGATAAATACCCAGAAGTGGAATTTTTGGATTATATGGTAATTCTATTTTTAATTTTTTTAGGAACCTACATACTGTTTTCCATAGTGGCTGCACCAGTTTACATTCTCACCAACAGTACATGAAAGTTCCCTTTCTCCACATCCTCACCAACACTTGTTATTTCTTATCTTTTTTTTAAAATGATACATGAGTATAGTTTAATTTAATTTAATTTTTTTAAGTAATCTCTATGCCCAGTGTGGAGTTCGAACTCACAACTCCAAAATCAAGAGTTGTATTCCCTATTGACTGAGCAGCCAGGCACCCCTATTTCTTGTCTTTTGGATAATAACCAGTCTGACAAGTGTGAGGTGATAATCTCATTGTGTTTTTTCTTAATTTAAGTTTTTATTTAAACTTCAGTTAGTTAACATGTACTGTAATATTAGTTTCAGCTATATAATACAGTGATTCAACACTTCCATGTAACACCTGGAGCTCATCACAAGTATACTCCTTAATCCCCATCACCTATTTAACCCATCCCCCCCAACCCCTGCAGTCATTGTGGTTTTGATTTGCATTTCTCTGAAGATTAGTACAGTTGAGTGTTTTTCCATATGCCTGTTGGCCATCCATATGTCTTCTTTGGGAAAATGTCCGTTTAGATCCTCTGCCCAATTGTTGTTACTGAATTGTGTGAGGTCTTTATATATTTTGGATGTTAACACCTTATTAGATCCCACGTGATTTGTAAATATTTTCTCCCATTCAGTAGGTTGCCTTTTCATTTTATAGATAATTTACTTTGCTCTGCAAAAGGTTTTTAGTTTGATATAATCCCACTTGTTTGTTCTTGCTTCTGTTGCCTTTGCTTTTGAGGCTGGATCCAAAAAAATCATTGCCAAGACTCATGTCAAGGAGTTTCCCACCTATGTTTTCTTTGAGGAGTTTTATGGTTTCAGGTTTTACATTCAAGTCTTTAATCCCTCTGGAGTTAATTTTTGTGTATGGTGTAAAGATACACCATAGTTTTATTTTTGTACATATGGTTGTCCAGTTTTTCCAACACCATTTATTGAAGAGACTATCCTTTCCCCATTTTATATTCTTGGTTTCTTTGTCATAAATTAATTGACCATGTATGTATGGGTTTATTTTTGGGCTCCTGAATGTCTTTAATAATCAAGAAAGTATATCCTGTGGTTGTTAGAGTGAAAGTTATATTTTGACAGAGCATATGTAATGGCTAGTCTCCATGCAAATACTTTAGTTAATTTTGGATGACTTTATATAGTACACACAATCAAATGAAATTGTGTACATTTTAATTTGTAGAGTAACAGACCATTTTTCAGTCCTTTCTTTATTTTAATTTTATATAAAATATATACATCAAGTAGGATATTTTGAGCCCACTCTAGGAACAATTTTATACAATGATATATAAATATTGGTAATGGTGGGTGAAAGGTTTAGGAAGAGAGGGAAGAATGGTATAAAAAAACAAAACCAAAAACCCAGCAGAAAAAAATATGTACATAGGCAGACATCTCTTGAGGTGGCTTCCTGGAATCCCACATTTGCCCCTTCTCTGGAACTGCTCTGTCTTCTGTAAGGCTGGGCCCCTAATATGTTAGTCTGATAACAAATGTTTTTTGTCATAGTTAATTGTTCTTAAGGAGGACATTTGACTTAAATCATATCCAAAGGATGCTCTCTCCTAGGAATTAAAAGAGGTGGGAGGAAGATACAGACTGGAAGTCACTTGAGGTAAAGTCAGATAAAGGAAATTTTGTGGTAAGTGGGTCAAAAAAGTGAAGTCAGATAGAGGAAATTTTGTGGTAAGTGGGTCAAAAAAGTGGGTCACTGGAGTTGATCTGGTCATTCCCCATTCTTGACTTTTACTTGGAGTTCATGAGATACCCTAGTGTACTTTCAATAGATTTGGTTTTTGCTTAAACCTAGCCAGAGTTGTTCTTCTTATAAACAAAAGTATAACTACTACAGCAAGTTAGAAGGAGGCCTGGTTTTTTAAACTTCATATTCAGTTTATGAAGTTTAAAAGCAGATAAAATACAAACAATCCCTTCTCTGTGATTTATAATGCCTAAATTAATATAAAAAACAACTCCTGTTCAGTTATTATTTTGGTATACTTTCATGGATTCCCTAATTTGTGTATGTTG